TGGATAATCATTTTATCCAAAGGATTATTTGTCTGAAAACAAAATCTTAAACGGGTCGCGAAAAGAACATTAGAGGTTTAAGTTGCAATGTTTTTCACAACCTAAAAGTGAACGGAAAACGTTTAAGCGATGCATTTGTATGGGCTCTTGACATACCATTTTATTACATTTTTGTAAAGAAATAGTTTGAAATAGATTAAAGAATTGCAAATATTTATAAAAAAAGTAGTATGAATCATTTGAATTGAATCGTTTCTTTGATACTTATGTTCTTTAATGCAACATAACTTTACTCCTATTATAACTTGGTTTGAATTGAGGTCGCCATAATACATTCACATTGAAGTTCTAACTTAAAATAGGTGTCAGACATCATTTGTTAGTCAATTTTAACTCCGAATTATAATCGAGTATACTACAGTGATACAAATTCAAAACTCCTGATGCAGAACTCGAATACAATTTTTCATTTTCTATGCGAGGAGGCCGACGCTACAGTTACAGTATGCAAAGCTTTTTAAAACTTCAATCCACATTTTAATTTTAGTACGGAAGACTTCGATAATATGACGTTTATTGCTTATGATGTGGCTGATATTGACTTGGGAAAATGTTTGTTTATATTTCAAATATTTCTACCTACTGCCATTGCAAATATGGAACCAGCAATGGCTAGAGTTGTCGACAGTTTGAGCCAAACATATACCCAGGATATAAATGAATCCTTGATTGTTGTATCATTGACGCTCAGCATTGCAAGCATTCTTCGAGCATACTTATCACTAAGCCAGGCAACGCAAGTTTTTATTTTACTGGTCAACTCAAAGATGGACCTAAAGAAAGGTCTGATCTTTGTGATTTTCAGTAGCACCATCACAGCAGGGATTTTTCTTGTGATTGGACTTACACCAGTGGGATACGCCATCCAAGTGCTGTTTCGTATCACCGATCGACAACTTAAAGAAGTTCAATTTGGCATAGCATCCTTCTGTTTGATATCAGGAGTCCTCAATAGTGGGCATGCAATCCATGGATTATTATTAAAGAATAAACACACCTATTTTTGTCTCCTCTCTGAGTTTTTAGGGTTCATAACAAAATTAGGAGCTGTGTTCTCGCTCATGGCTACACCATTATTAACTAGAAGACCAATCTTGATACCTATAATATCAGCATATGTGTCAGCATTGGTTTATCTTCTCTTGAGCTTTATAGGATATAGATTATATTTGATCAATAATTTACCTGCTGAAAGTACAAATACACTGACATATCGTCAAATGATTGAAGTGACACTACCCCTAGGGCTGCAAGAATTGATCGAAAGATGCGAATCATTTATCCTAAGCTTTATAGTTGCCCAACTAACGCCATCTGAATCTATGCGAAGTATGGCACTGGCGAACATTCATGTCCTCCATGCATCATTTTACTCAGTGCGAAGGACGTTAGTCAGCATTTCAACAATGGTACCGGCATACCTTGCATCAGGAATGAATTCATCATTGCATTTCGACCATGAACTAGTTATCTGTACCGCAATCATTGCATTCGTTTCATTTTTGATTTCTTTTTCAATGTGCTGGATTACTCCCGTTACGAGGGTTATATTTTTATACGTTTTTCACATTTCTGAAGAAAATTTCATTGCAATATACTATCCCTTTAAGTTGTACACATTCTGGCCGATTATACAAATATTTTCTTTGTTTTCCCTTGGAATTTTACTACATAAAAAAGACACCAAGATGACATTAGTGAGTTCTGGTTGCAAAGTCATCACATTGGGTTGTCTACCATTTGCTTTAGATCTTCTTGGATTCGATGTTTTACTGTCTTCAGTTGTGGCTTTGTTTACTGCTCAGTCATTTATCGCAGGCATACTTTTCCCATACCTTTATTTGAAGTATTTAAGAAAATCTCAATCGCATCAAAAACAAGTATGAAATAAGGTAGTTATATAGTATATAATACTGAGATTGGGCTATATATAGTCATGTAAATTAATTCAGTCATGTATTAGTATCACATTATTTTATTGGAATAAAGTTTAAAATGGTGTGTATGAATGCATTATTGATATAGCCTTTATCTATATGTTGAATTTGGTTGAATACAATGTAAAGATCGAAAAACAACTTTCTTTCTGGAAACAAACATAATTTATTGAATCAACCGTACAAATCTTCTCGCTTAAACTTCTAGTATATAGAACACTTAAAGAGCTGGAAGATTAAGATTTGTTTGAGTGGTAGTGTCAGTGAGTGCATGTTTCTGCCGACGTATTACTCTCAACACGGAGACTAATCAAGCATTATGATAAAAACACGCAATGCATTCGTTTTGGTATATAGGGAACGTTTTTAAAATAGGAAATATTTGAAGATTTAAAGTATTTTTCAAATTTTTTTATTTTCATTCAAGAACAAAATGTTTCGCGCATCAAAATGATAAAAACTGCCTTTAAAACTGCCTTTTAAAAGAAGAATATAAGTAGTAAGAAGCTACCATATCAGGCATTCTGATAATAATACTGTATATCTTTATATATAACCTCCCTCCCAACCTCATTTCAACTAAGGGGAGATGTATAGTCACAATTTATCATAGAGAATGACAAATATTCGAATTCCTTCTTTATACAACTGAAGTACATTTTCCTGCTTTATATGAAAAATCGATGAAAAAAGTATGATGTGAAAAAGAAACTTGGCAATAATTTCAAAGAGAAAATGTAAATATTACCAAGTTGAAAATTCATAATAATATACTGTTGCGCTGCTTAGGCCACAAACTGTGTTGCTTTGGATTTATAGATAAAAAGTTGAAACCGATTGTCAAAAACATATTAAAAAGATTGAAAAAGCATGATTGCTTTCTTAATTTTACCCCTTGGTGATGAAAGGAGTAATATCAAATTTTTACTTTTAGTGAAAATTCGGAAAGAGATTCAAAACTGACATTCTCAGAGTTATGTGTGCTATGGTAACATGACATCACAATACCCGGGGCAACATCCCACGCAGAAAGTTACAGAGACTTTAAGCATTTTGTATATCCAATATTAAAGTCGAAATGCAACAAACACGAGTGGGAATTACATTTGCTTTTTTTACATCATTTGATATCATTATGTGTTCTCTACTCTGAAAAGTAGGCTCTTCCATGGTTAGTACAAGAGTAGCACGTACTTTGGATCCATGACTTATGAGTGAACCCATTTGAGGATATTTTCATCTTTAAAGGTAAATGATAAGCATCCCGTTCTCCATATCAGTAAAAATTAGATATTGCATGATCAGAGGAGTATGTTACAGGGTCTTAGACCTCAATACTTAGCTCCTCTATATAGCTGCAGTGGTCTTTTATGCTGACTTGCGGACATGCACGTTATCAGGGTAGATGACTTCAAATTTGGTATTTTCAAAAACTCAACCGTGAATTGCCTATTAACGTATTTTTATTATGTTGGTATTGTTGTAAACCTTATTCAATCAACTCTTCAGAAATGTATAATTGCGTTATTTGAGAAATTAGGTCAACAAAGGTTAAAATTGAGGTCAACGTGACCAAGGCATGGAATGTAACTGCATTATGATCTTGTTAAGCCATGTACATTGTGATTACACATTAAAATTGTGACCCCTGTAAGAGTAAATTAACTTTTAAAGGTTTTTAACATTCTATCAATGGGGATTAAGCCCGATCTTTTTCAGAAACCAATGAAGGTAAATAACTGTGTAAATCAAAGTCGTTTTGAGTAAAAGTATACAAAGAATTCAATATTAATGTTGGTCTTTAATGATCGAACTCTCCCACTGTTCTGCCTATTTACCACTTGCCACAATCAACCTCGCTGCTAGCATATCAAACCAGGCTCATTTTCTATCAAACTTGACCCAACTACAAGTACTATCGTTGGATATCTTTCAAAAACCAAGTTATCATTGTTACCAAAGCCTTATAGTTACCATGCGACCCTGAAAATGGCGTTAAACTTGAGAGCAAAAAGCACCCAAACCTTCCATAATGGCACTAATTTTTGAAAATAAAATTTCTTAAACGTTGATATCATCTAGAACACTTCTTTACAACACAAATGTCAAAAATGGGGTCAGGTTTACCACTTTGATTTTTTCAAAGCTTGGTCAAAGTAAAACTGCGAAAAATGAACTCATTTTCACTTTGGAATCACCCATTATCGCCAAAATGGCTATATTTTGTCAAGGTCAATGTCGCCATGTTAAAAGTAGAACTACGGAGCTAAATCTGCCCTCCAGATAATATTTTATAGCCATTCTTTACCAAGGAACAAAGATCGTTGCATTTCGCACTTCCTTTGGTGTAATAAATCCTAATGCTTAAAAAGGCAGATCTCCTAAAATCTCACTTATAACGAGACTTCAACGAGATTTCAAAGCTGTTTAGAAACAGCTCTATTAGTATTTCAAAATTGGAAAGCAAATATTGCATTTCTAAAGTTTTTCTTTCATGATGCATAGGCGTAGCCAGGAGGGGGTGCGGGTGTGCGATCGCACCTCCCAAAACAATGAAAATATTACCATTAGATGGAAGAAGAAAATGGCGTTAAAATGCTTTTTATTTGAAGCTTCTAGCTCATTTTGAAGGAAGTTACATTAATTTTACTAAAATTCAAAACAAATCTTTATCTTTTTGGCACGATCACACCCCCTTGAATGAAAACCAAAATTATTTTGGCGATCACACCCCCCCCCCCTGACTGAAAGCTGGCTACGCCCCTGTGATGTGTATATTCTTGATAAGAGACATCAGACACAATCACTTATTATAATCTACTGTGTATCATGACATAAAATAGTTGATTTCAATGCAAGTATTTTACACAGATCACGATGCTGACATTATGATCACAATATGAATGAAATAAAATTCTGAATTTATAGATATTAAAAGTCATATCGATTTGAAACATTGGTGATACGTATTAATATTTTCGCGTCCTGGAATCAAGAAAGACGATGCATCACTTTACAGAGGTGTTTGGGATCATATTTCTTTTTGGTATACAAATAGGTAATGCTTAATAGAATAATTTAGACAAAAACAACAACGTTTTATCAAGTAATTATTGAATTAGGTCGGCATTATATACCCTAAACGCTGTTACAGGCAAACCGACTGAAACGTTTCTGTAAAAGCTGTTGAAAATAACTTTACGTCTGACAATTCTAAAGATACTGGAAAAAGACATATGTGTAACTTGCTTCATATAGAGGAATAGAGGAATTTCTATCTAGCTTTGAGTCTCACTTATTCTTGTTTTTTTCGTTGGATTTGTATATTAAACCTCCCATGGCTTATTTTTCCTTTTTAATAGCCTATTTGAATTCAGTATAGACTTTGCCGAATTGATCTAACTGTGTACGAACGGTTCAGACGTAGTTGAAATGTTAACGATCTTAATTCTAACTTCACGTTTTGGCGGCCATCCAATAAGACCGAGTGACAACATAATTAAAACGAGATGGACGTTTCGAGAACTAGATTTTCTCGTCTTGAATCAAGAAGAATTGGCCTCCAGGGTTTCAACTTTTCCATAGAACTGAATAGACCTTTACCATCAACACTGAGAAGATTGCTTGACGGTTTGAACTGCGTTGAAACCCTGGTAGCCAATTATCCTTGGTCTTGAATATAATCTGTCTGTCCATGCGCTTTTGGTATACTTTTTCACTGAAATAATATTTAATAATGTTTAACACTTGTTTCTTTTCACTGTATATCTGCAGTCAGTGGCCATGTTAATTCAGCGACATGCAACAGTAATGAGCAGATGAAGTGTACAATGTCATGTGATTGTGAAGGTAAGTGGTAGTTCCTCTCTATTAGCATAAGATGGAATAACTGAAAAAACACTCTATTATTATAATTTGCCGGTACTTGATAAGGATCTACTCCAATTTTGTTGATGCCCAATTTTGTCTGTAAGGGACCGGAACAAGGTCAAGTCAAAACGAAATTTGTATTTCAGTCACATCACATTTGATACCGAATTCCGGGCGATGTTTTTTGGCAAAAATAGATCTGCAAGTCGGGAAATATTACTGGCGTTTTTGGGGTCAGGTTCAACTAAACTTCTGGTTTACTCTTTGATTAATATTTTGCAGCTAAATATTTGACCGATTGTTGCGTTGATCCTTCATTCACTGGTGTAATAAACATCAAAACACAAGACGGAAAAATATTCAACGCATACTGTGTCCAGGGTTGGACTTACGCATTTAAACGTTTTGACGGCTCGGAGGATTTCTACCGCACTTGGGTCGAGTATCAACATGGCTTTGGTAAAAGAGATGGTGAACATTTCATTGGATTGGATAACCTTGCCAGCTTTGTGAAGGGGCGTACGTGCAAAGTGCGGTTTGATTTGGAAGCATGGCCTCCCGTATCCCCAGCTAAACGATTTGCCGAATATTCAATATTCAATGTCGCAGACGAGACCCAAAAGTATCGTCTTACCATCGATGGATACAGTGGAACAGCTGGTGATGCAATGAAAAGAAAACACAATGGACGAATGTTTTCCACGCATGACCGAGATAATGATGAGGCCGATTTTAATTGTGCCACTTCCTACCATGGTGCTTGGTGGTACGGACACTGCCACGATGCAAACCTTTTTGGATTGTACGTGAATGGGCCAATTTGCCCGGCACATGCAAAGTGTCTTGTTTGGGAAAATTGGCCATCTGTTATCGGAACACCAACAAATAACTACTACTCGTTCAAAAATGCATCTATGAAAATACATTGCTGTTAGATTCTGTACAAACAAGTAAATACAAGTAATGGCATGTGCAATACTTTAAAGATCAAATATTTGAAACGATTTTTTGTTTTTGTTCAATTTGCTTTCACCATTCTCATACTACTAGAACAAATACCATTTGATAAGATTGTGTGTGTAGCCAAGCTTCAGGTAGGATTCATGCAGTTGCCTCGCCAACATTTCAGAGAAACATATTAATTTAGACTTTCTTCAATTGAAACTGTAAAACTGAAGCCCCGTGATAGCATTATTTCAAATGTTAGCATCTGCATCCTTGCAATGATCTGCAAAGGGCTAACAAGCCCATTTAAAGCAGACATATTATTTAACAAAAATAGAATTTGAATATAATATAATTTAAACCCTAACTCTTATATTTAAAAATCTATGGTTTGGATACAACTCATTTTAAAATTGAAAGGAAACTCCCTGTTTGTACCCCCTAGGAAGTCCATTTATGTTGAAATGCACTAAAACGACTTTGCATGCTACCGCGTTGACATCATCCCTCTTTACCAGTAGTGCAGGCTTGTTGCTGTGCACTTGGGACATTCTGCATTAAAAGTAATTTAAGGAATCTGCAAGTGGACCTTAAATGGATTTATACCGACTGGCCGGATATCCAATCATGTACTGGCTTTCACTTTCAGTTATACACGTGTGTCTCGAGTTACATCTTGGGTCTATCTACTACTTCCTAGCTAGACAGCATCCTTCATTCAGTTTCATGTTTCGAAACAGACAACATGAATAAGCATTGATTTGTTAAAAAATTATTGTTTCAACTTTACAAGCTATTCAGCATTGTTATATTAAGAAAATATTATATAACATAAGAAAGAACACTATTTATATACAATTTATAACATATTTTTACTTTACGAACTTATAAGTTAATAAATACACAGTTTGTGGATTGAATTCGATCATTTACCAAATTCCATAGTGGACAGGACTCGGAAGGAGGATATAAATCTCTTCACCATCTAAAGCGATATCTATTAAACCCTGTGAGTATCTGTTCCTTTATACATTTTGTAACATGGATGGATTATCAGCAATGCTAATTGGACATTCCTTTGTTAGGCGCTTTAAGAATTATGTTCGCACAACTGAAGACAAACGCGTTAAATGGAATCTTGGGCTAGAACGCATTCATATTAGATATGACGGTTTGGGCGGTAGAAAAGTAGGGACAATATTGAATGAAACATTGGAAAATAAATTAAAAAATCCGCCAAACATAGTCATCTTACAAATTGGAGGAAATGATATCTCAAACGGAAAAAGACCCGAAACAGTTGCCTCCGATATAGAAAATCTAGTCATGAAATTACACCAAGAATATCACGTCGAATATATTTTAGTATCTGAACTTATACAAAGAAAATCAGCTCCTTTAAAATACAATGAAAACGTCATGCTATGCAATCGTATTCTGACAGCATTATTAGAGCACATTCCATTCGCAAAGCTGTGGCACCACAGAGGTATTAGGAATAGCCAATTTAACCTCTACATTGAAGACGGTGTCCATTACAATGATCGCGGAAATTATAAACTCTATCAAAGCTACAAGCAAGCATGCATCTTCGGTGAAAGCCAACTTAATTAATATACAAAACATAAGCATTGCTGGTAAGACCCATTATTGTATTTTTCTACTCGTAGCATGGGGTAGTGGTATAAAGATTTAATTGAAAAACAATTATTGTATTAGAAAGATATCTTTATATATATTATCACGCAAACAGGGCAAAGGTAATGCAGCACTCAATATATATTTCTCGAGCTGCCGAAAGCTGGGTAACCATTCCTTGTCTTAATACAGTAGCCATTTGAATTATATCATTGTTTGTGCATCGCTCAGAATCAGCTTCTGAGCATTTAATTGTGAGATTTAATCACAAAGCTCACTTGTCCCTTGGATTGAAATCATATCCAAACTACGGACAACAACTATTACCTTTTTTAACGGTCTCAAGGATTAAAATAAGTATCCTTAATTAAAGACTTTAGTGCCCTCTTAAATAGTATTACGTTCTATTTGTTTGAGGGTTGAAATCATTATCCTCATACTTTATCTCACGGATTGAAATTAGTATCTGTCGAGACAAAAATGGCGTTTACATGTTTGTTCGAGGATTGAAATTATTATCCTCAAACTTTATCTCACAGATTGAAATTAGTATCTGTCGAGACAAAATGGCGTTTATTTGTTTGTTCGAGGATTGAAATTATTATCCTCATACTACATCTCACTGATTGAAATTAGTATCTGTTGAGACAAAAAAATGGCATTTAAATTGTTTGTTCGAGGATTGAAATTATTATCCTCATACTTCATCTCACGAATTGAAATTCGTATCTGTTGAGACAAAAAATGGCATTTAAATCGTTTGATTCGAGGGTTGAAATTATTATCCTCATACTTCATCTCACGGATTGAAATTATTATCCGTTGAGACAAAATACGGTTTTTAATTTGTTTGTCTTTGTTTGTCTTGCTTTATTAAAATTGTAAAATATCGCTGTTACTTTCTTTATTTTCCCACCGCGTCTCTGTTTTATTTGCAGATCATGCCTAAGAGACAACTAAGACCCAGGGGATCGCCTTCAAGGGCACCCGGAAGAAAACCTTCAACAAAGAAGCAGAAGTTGAATGAGGAGTTGGTGGTGGAAATCACGAAACGGGTGGTAGAAAGTCTATCCCAGCAACCTGCAACTTCAACAAATACACGAGACAACTCTACTAGCGAGGACTCTGGGGATTCAGACGGCGAGGTCTCATTCCCAAAATTAGGTACGGAAACAAACCTCAATGAGCCCGAAGCTCCTTCTAAGGCATTTTCTTTCCAAATACCTATCGACATGCATGTGCCAACAGCTATTAAGCAAAAAATCTGGAATAACGAGTACGTAGAGTTCGGGTCACTTCTCCCTAAACATTCACGAGTCAAAGACTCAGAATTCGATTTGAAACAATCCAAATCAGGTAATCTTAAAATAACCAAGGCCCAAGGTAATTTTAAATTAGTTTCCATTGAAGAATGGATTTCCGCTTTCCATATTTTCACCACCATACATTGCACAAAATATGGCACGGATGCAATTCCGTTAATGCACTATGGCCAGAATGTAAGGAAATTAGCGGAAAACCATTTGGACTGGAACTACTACGACGAAAATTTTCGACGGGCAAGGGCCAATAATATATCATTACCCTGGGACCAGCCCCATCCCACGTTATTCATTTTTACTTCCCTCGAGGGAAAGCAACAGCAAAATAACAAGCACAATAACTCTCAATACCCAAGCAATAGCAAGTCAAAACCAAACATCCCCAAAGGATTCTGTTACAAATTCCAATTAGGCCAAACTTGCTTCAAAAAATCTGAATGCAAATTCCACCACTATTGCTTTAAGTGTAATAGTCCCTCTGCAAACCATCCAGGCTTGAAGTGTAATAAGAATTTTCGACCCCAACGCTCGTCCTCCAATTTTCAAACTCCAAGTAACAAGGGTCAAAACTCAAATCACAATGCCAACACCAATAATCATTAATGGATTATCATACTATATCAAGGGATACGACGCGTTTCTGTCTAGCTACCTTCTAAATGGTTTCAGCAATGGTTTCAGTATTGGTTATTTTGGCGAAAGAGAATCGAGACGGTCAACTAATTTTAAGTCGGCCATAATCAATCACCACATTGTTAAGGAGAAAGTTAAATCTGAAATTCAAAAAAACAGGATTTCACCTCCCCAGTCCGATCCACCGTTTGATAAGTATTTTGTCACATCTCCATTGTCAGTAATTCCCAAAAAGACCCCCGGCGAATTTAGATTAATTCATGATCTTTCATATCCGAAAGGCTCTTCTATAAACGACGGAATTCCAGTTGAATTGCGATCTGTCAATTACTCAAACGTATCTGAAGCAATCAAAATAATTTCGGAAATGGGTAGGGAATGTTTTTTAATAAAAATCGACATTCGTTCCGCATTCAGAATCATTCCTTTACATGAAGACGATTATCCATTACTAGGTTTTGAGTTCGAGGGTAATTTTTACTATCAAAAGGTTCTACCAGAAGGCTGCGCTAGTAGTTGCGCTATATTTGAAAAATTCAGTTCATGCGTGGAATGGATAATGAAAAAACAACTTGAAACACAAAATATCTTGCATTACTTAGACGATTTCCTAGTAGTATCAAAAACTTATGAAGAAGGTCGAGTGTACCTTCAAAAATTTCAGGCTATATGCAATGACATAGGCATTCCATTATCTATAGAAAAAACATCTGCCGAACCGGTAAATTGCCTCACTTTTCTGGGCATCGAATTAGACACTGCTTCAATGGAAGCCAGATTGCCATTAGAAAAACTTCATAAATGTTGTACTCTGATAGAGACAAATATGCATAGAGATAAGCTTAAATTAAAGGAATTGCAAGAAATCATAGGCCTCCTTAATTTTGCATGCTCAGTAATTAGCCCTGGTAGAGCTTTCTTGAGGAGAATGATAGATTTGACGAGGGGAATATCCAACAAACATTATCATATCCGTATGAACAACGAAGCAAAGCAAGATTTGAAAATGTGGAAACTATTTCTTAACCAATTCAATGGGAGGGCAATCATTAAGTCACCCGATTGGACCTCCTCCGACACTTTAAAACTATTCACAGATAGCTCAGGTTCGGGCTATGGCGCATTGTTTCAAAACAATTATTTCCACGGAGTTTGGAATTCTCACTGGAAAAAATTTCACATTACCATACTTGAACTTTATCCAATAGTTTTAGCAATAGACATGTGGGGAAACTCTTTCAAAAACAAAAATGTCTTGTTCTACACAGATAACGAGGCAGTCGCATATATCATCAATAAACAAACGTCAAAGGATGGGAATATAATGGCCCTCATCAGAAGATTGGTTCTGTCTTGTCTCTCATTTAATATATCATTCAGTGCAAAACATGTGGCAGGAACATTAAATACATCAGCAGATAGTTTATCCAGAGGTCAAGTTACAAAATTTAAACTATTAAACCACCATGTAATTAACTTACAGGGAATAAATGTACCAAACCTGCCACAAGTCGACAGCTGCAACAGAATCTGTTGGGGATTCTAGAAGCCGCCTTGGAACCAACTTCAAGGGTGGCTTACAAGACAGCCTTAAAATGGTATAAACAATTTAATGACTCGTATAAATTAAACGACCCGATGCTTCCCTGTCATGTCTCTGATGTGCTTCTATTCATATCGTATCTCAACTTCAAAGATCTCAAACCTTCTACTATTACATCATACATCAGTGCCTTGGGTTACATTCACAAATTGCAACATGATAGAACACCCACCGATGCCTTCATCGTTCAAAAAACATTGTTAGGCCTAAGGAAAAAACAACCGAGTATTGACTCTAGACTTCCAATTACCCTACCAATCTTGAATAGCCTTATCGATTCATTGAATTCTATCATCCCATCAAATCCCTATTTGCAAACAATGTTCAAAGCAATGTTTGCTATGGCATTTCATTGTTTCTTGAGAATAGGGGAAATAACAGGTGGTTCGAGTAACCAAAATCTGATTCAATTAGATAATGTCAAATTTATAAGAGAACGTTCCGAAATATGTGCTTTCGAACTTACCTTCAAAAAATATAAACATAGTATACCAGGTAAATCGCATCGCATACGAGTTGAAAAAGGAAGCATTCCTAAATATTGCCCTGTCTCACTTCTTAAAAATTACCTCACCTTGAGGGGTATGTCAGAAGGCCCGCTGTTTTTGCAATCAAACACAACACAAGTCCACAGAGACAGCTTCAGCAAATGGTTAAGAAAAGCCCTGACATTCATGAATCTTGATACAAAGTTTTATAAGACACATTCCTTCAGAATTGGTTCGGCTACTCACGCGTGTATAAACAAAGGTCTAACGGATCAGCAAATAATGCACCTAGGGAGATGGGCATCAAACAGTTTTAAAAAATACATAAGACCTCAAATTAATTCAGCAATGTAATTCATAAATAGCCTGAGGTGTTGCCCAAGCTATCAACTTATCACTATCGAATCATGATTTATGAATCATAATTTAAATTAGACGGTTGGCACATGCATGCACTCTTGAAATAAGTGGGCAAGGAAATTCAAGTATGATTGAATTGGTTGATACCAGATGAGAGCCCCTTTTATCATTTATTAGGATATGACATCAAATTAAAATGGTGTTTTCAGAGCTGTTGGCCTGGAATCTAGTACGTTTGACTAACATTAAATGAATATTACCTTTCCCAGAGCAGTTGGCCTGGAAAGTCTATGGTTCCTGTATATAGTGTAAACACATAGCTAGCAACGAATTAGTTTTAGCAAGGGTGAACGTGACCGAGGATTTCGGGATCCTTCGGAAATTTAAAACTCCCTGGAGTTTGAGCTGATGGCCAATCTCTAAAGTTAAAAACATACGCATATTAGAAGAATAATAAGAATAATTCTCGTAATTCTCACAAAACAAATTCATTGTATTTTAAAACTCATACAGCTAATTTTTCTTCACAGACGGCGCATGTCTTAAAAATTAATGTTCATGTGTTTTTCATGGTCTTTGGCCACACAAACATGATAACTCATGTTATTAGTGCCCAGTGGCTTTTTAGCGTCCATTTCAAACATTATGTAAGGTTATGTAATACTTTATACAATTATGTAAGACAATGTAAACGAATTTATACTATTGTTAATTTGTGTAATATTATGTAATGTTAGGAAATTGATTATGTAATGTTTTTATGTAAAAATAATAAATCAAAATAGATGGCCACAGGATGGCTCTTGACACACCAAATTATACTTGTCAGTTTATTATTTCCCCGATAGAGCGGGCGGGAAGTATAAAAGTAATTTAAGGAATCTGCAAGTGGACCTTAAATGGATTTATACCGACTGGCCGGATATCCAATCATGTACTGGCTTTCACTTTCAGTTATACACGTGTGTCTCGAGTTACATCTTGGGTCTATCTACTACTTCCTAGCTAGACAGCATCCTTCATTCAGTTTCATGTTTCGAAACAGACAACATGAATAAGCATTGATTTGTTAAAAAATTATTGTTTCAACTTTACAAGCTATTCAGCATTGTTATATTAAGAAAATATTATATAACATAAGAAAGAACACTATTTATAACCCTCCTCCTTTCCCCGATTCTACCTCCAATAACACTAATGTATTATTGTTGAAATTCACGTTGTTTTAGTTTACAGACTGTATTAACTATGTCACGTTTTTCGCAAACCTATTTGAGAAAGAGACTTTCACATAGCTGTCACCATGTGTTAGTAAGCTTGTACAGTCCTAACTAACCTTTTTTTTATATTTTTTATTTTACATTAGGTTACGGCTTTTTAGCGTCCATTTCAAACATTATGTAAGGTTATGTAATACTTTATACAATTATGTAAGACAATGTAAACGAATTTATACTATTGTTAATTTGTGTAATATTATGTAATGTTAGGAAATTGATTATGTAATGTTTTTATGTAAAAATAATAAATCAAAATAGATGGCCACAGGATGGCTCTTGACACACCAAATTATACTTGTCAGTTTATTATTTCCCCGATAGAGCGGGCGGGAAGTATAAATATTTATGATAGACCTATTGCTAAAATACAACTAGTGTGTGTAGCTATAGAGATGGCAGCTAAGTTGTGAGTTCCTTTGTAGAAAATGGAAAGTCTAGAGGCTTCTCTTCGAGATTGTAGCGATTCCAACTGTAGGTGGAGAGCTCGGGTGACAAAGCCTGAGCCTAGTTCCTTAGACGACAATTGGTTGAAAATCTGACTGCTCTTCTTTTTACCCGCTTCGGCATGTTGATATCCTTTTGGCGGTAAGGATCCAATGCTACAATAGCATATGGCATATTCTAGGGTTGACCTGTCACCTTACTTGGACGTTGATGTCCTCTGGGCGCTACTGAATGTTGCGCCGGAGGCACACTAACAACTTGTTAGATTTCGATTCTACTGTTTGTGTGGTCCAGTTGAGGTTGTTCGTGATTTCGATTCCTAGATATGGAATTTAAGTAAATTGAATAGCTATTTCGCATTTAATTGGTACTGATATCAACGTTGAATCATTGATCAAAGAAACTAGTTTTGAATCAGCATTGACCTTGAGATGAGAGATTCAGCATTGATCACATAAAAGTTTCAGCACGGACGAATCAATAAACATTTCAACGATGTGAAATTATTGAAACAGCTTTGATTTAATGGCTTCTACGACATTTTGGGATGGCATTTGTTGTGACATCCATTTTCCTCCATGATTGACTAAACGCTGGTATATTCATTATTGGATATTGTATAGCAGCATAAGTAACATCAACTGTATAGATTATTACTATACATTTTGTGGAAGACATGTGTCAAACATTAGCAACGTGTACACACCTTAGACAGCCACATCTGTGGACATTTTTCTCATTCAGTTTCTGTCTAATGATTTTAATTTACTTTGATATGACATTTCAGTCGTGATTAAACAATTGAATTAACAGTTTCTGTGGTTTTATGCGTTTCATGATTTAGCGACAGGAATAATTATCATATTGACCTATTCGTGTAATACGACTAAACGTGAGAACAGTTAAATTAATTACTTCTATTTCTAACTGAAAATTCTTCCAATCACGATGAAGGCCAGAGCATGTTTGAACATTGTCACGACATGGACATTTTAACAATAGATATGCCGTGAGTGACATTATTTTAAAAGTCAGAGATCATTTACTAGTATAAACGTCGAATCAACTAGAATCATTTTGGTTACGCTAGCTGACTTTTAGAAAGTGATGGATTTTACTGCATTGGTATTGGGAACCGTATGCCTTTTCGGTTTATCATCAGGTATGGCTTAAACGTGTTGTATTTTAGACGTAAAACTTGTTTAACATACATGATCAGAAAAAGCACATAGAAAAGAAGCTAAGATGAAGAAAAAGATCCAAGTACTCATATATAATAGAATAGAATAATATAGACCAATTATTCTTCAAATGAAAAACGTTTTGATGATTTTGTATAGTGAATGGATGAGTGATATAAAAAAATAAGTGGATGTTCCTCAAATAACGGTAAGATCAGACTGTTTGATGTATAGATGGCGTGTTCTAAATTGTGTTTCATTCTCATCTTTTACAAAAACCAGCAGACAGCGCGAAGGTTAAATCAGCAACATGCACAATCAACGAACAGATGAAATGTACATGTGAAGGTAAGACATCAAAAATTATATAGCTACAGAATTGTATGTAGGGACGTAGCCAGGATCTGAAAATAAACTAGGCTTTATAGAAGAGACAAAGTCAATATACAGATGAGGTACAATGCTACTAAAGGAATATTCGACATTGACCCGAATCTTGCTTTTTCAAATCAAATCGTTTAACACACATTAATTTAATCTAATTTTTAATGCCACGTGCATAAATATTTTCAGAAAAATATGTGAATGACTGTTGTGTTGACCCTTCCTACTCTGGTGTAAGAAACATTAAAACACGAGAAGGAAAAATCTTCAGTGCGTACTGTGACCAGGGTTGGACTTACGCTTTTAAACGATTTGACGGCTCTGAGGATTTTTACCGCACTTGGGTTGAGTATCAACATGGCTTTGGTAAAACAGAAGGTGAACATTTCATTGGATTGGATAATCTTGCGAGTTTTGTGAAGGGGCGTAAGTGCAAAGTGCGATTTGATTTTGTGACATGGCCCCCTACATCTCCGGCTACAGCATTTGCAGAGTATTCAAAATTTCACGTTGCTGATGAGACACAAAAGTACCGTCTTACAATTGGTGGCTATAGTGGGACCGCTGGTGATTCAATGATAACAAGACACAATGGACAAAGATTCTCCACCTATGATCAAGATAATGACAAGTACCCTCTAAATTGTGCAGCATTATTCAAAGGAGCATGGTGGTACAAGGAATGTCACCATGCAAACTTGTTTGGTTTGTACATGAAAAGACCAGCTTGCCCAAAATATGCCGAATGTCTTACATGGTACTACTGGCCTTCAACCATTGGATCACCTGACAACTATTACTACTCGTTCAAGGAGGCATCCATGAGGATGCATTGTTGTTGACAAGTAAGTGCAAGTATATATACACTATATGTGACTTTGCGATAATGGCGCATTCTTGGAAATGCGTTCTGATGTGTGGTCATGTCCATTTATATGGATTACATTTTAATCAATAAAATAAATGGACAACTCTAAAAATATGACCTTAGACAATTTTATTTTATTATATTTTATTTATTTGAATAGTCCTTAATGGCATATAGTTAATTTCCATTCAATTTCCGAGGCACATTGGAAGTCAATGACTGTATGCATGTTGTAATTCCTAATATTATCATCCACAAGATGGCAGACACAAAATTGTAGAAGCTATAGCTGCCGAAATCGGCCTAGAATCAAATTGCTGAAATCAGATCGCAAACGTTGAACAACTGCTGACATATTTTACGACATCTAACGCTCTCATCGAATTTTACCCCGACTCCCTGGCATCAGCTTGTACAATGTAATTGCTGACACTCTTGTCTTTGCCACGTCACTGAAAATCTGCTGCATGACATACATAGCGTGCTTCTCTTCTGGAGGGTTTCAGTGTCCTCTGCGTCATCCCTGTCATTTCCACTTCTGGAGAATAAACATTAAACAGGTTTGATTTTCTCCTCAATTCAAGCCCATTGTGTTTCATAAATCGTCGGCAAGGGAATGCGATTCTGTACAAATATCATTTATGAAGTCCTAGAGATAATAATCAGATACAAATATCACCCATACATGACCAATTTTTACCTTCTATAGCTATCGATAACCCCACAATGATCTATAGACACATGCATTCGATCACTTCCTTGTGTAACTCCAGACATGATCGTGAGGCACACGTGATTTACAAGTGTTTAAAATGTGAATTGCTAACAATCTCACAGATTAGTAATTGACACACGGATGTACCACCTTCTGTTGACAACCCCATTGAAGATTAATTGACACATGTGTATACATGTATTACCTTCTATTGGCAACCCCATACATGATCAACTGGTACATACAATGTAAATTACCTTCTGCTAACAATCTCACAGATAAGTAATCGACACATGGATGTACCACCTTCTGTTGACAACCCCACAGAAGATTAAGTGGCACATGCATATATAAGCATTTATTGACAACCTCACAAAGGAACAATTAATAGATGAACGTATTACCTTCTCTTGACAATAACATAAATGAATAACTGACACATAATGTATTACCTTCTATTGACAACTCAACACATGAGTAGTTGATACATGTATGTATTAACTTTTATTTACAACCTTACACAGAAACAATTAATTTTTACTATAACCTCCTGTTGACAATCTCACTCATGGGATTGACATTTATATCAATTACCTTCTATTGACAATCCCACACATCAGTAATTGACACATATATTTTTTATTCACGTCAGTAAGTCTACCACATCTGTTACACTCCTTGATGTCACGCTTCTCTTGAAGAAGTGGTAGTTGAGTGGTCGGATCCCTATAAGAAGAAAATATATTGAAACATTATACGGACGCAATGTCAATTGTCTGGACTCTGCTACCATGTAGAGGATTTACTAAAAAGAGAGAAAATTCTTGTTTAATCACCATTGATAGAATTTGGTCCTGGAAACTCATTAAATGTAGTAATTTGACATGTAAAATGTTAACTGTTCTATGGAATAATAGTCATAGTTCTGATATCGAATTTAGTGTGATACCGATCTAGTATGCAGTTTCTACCTAACAGTGACCCAGTAATGAAGGAAAGCCTCTTCAGTGCGGTCATCCTGGCTTTCCGATTCATCTTCACGTGGCGGGTCAACATTGTTCTCTGATTGGTCAATTTCTACATCCTGGTCACTATCCAGACATTTTTCCACAAAACACCATATTCGCTCTTCTTCGCTTTGTAGTGCGCTACAACTTATACATGTTTTCTTGAGCCTGGAAAACATTTTCAAACTGTGGCGATAATATAGGCGAAAGTTAACTTTTGAATGGGTTTGAGGGAAAGAAATTTCTATATCTACAAATATATATAACTCCGATACATGTACTTAGCTAATCATATCACTAAAGGAGATCAAATCAATTCTACATAATAGAACAAAATGTATACAATGTACCTGGAGACTTCTGCTGGAGGAAAAACCAAGGACTCTGATAAATCTGTCAACTTGAATGAGAATCCTGAAAAAATCGTAACAAACGAAAAATTAGTTTTCTGTTGAAAGCCCATGGGATAATGAATGAAGGGTTAAGAGTAAGTTTCGAAAGGAATTTCATATCTCACATCGCTCTCATCATTTCGTGTATACGATCATAAGGTAAACATAGGCATACTTCTTGAGAACTGTCCCAATCTTTTTACACATGTTATCCATCTAAAGCGGCATTGCGTCACCAGTAGACATACATATCTTTGATTCGAAGATTGATTTTCATCGACTGAACCTGTACAATTTTACCCAGTCGATGCATAACATTGACCTAGTTTTGCCTCGCCAAATTAATTCCCTCAAAATACATAAGTGCATATTAGGGCTCTCATAAATCCAAAGGGCAATGTTAATAGCCCACTTTCCCTCAGTGTCGCCCCCTAAATTGCATCATGTATTCCATTCCTCCTATGCCTTGGGGGATTTTACTGTGATGTAATGAGAGTATGACAGTTTAACATTTTTATTATGGCAAAATATAGTTATACAGCCACACATTTTTAACATCTAATTAATGGATCTATTCAAATATTATTTTCAAGGTCAATTTTCCGTATTATATACAACGTATAAAAACAAAAATATTTCCCTCTAATACGGTCAAAATATATATTCCAGCTTAAAACCGATTAAAATCTATTATATAGCCATATAATTTGTATATAAAACCTATTTTGCACAGTGTCAAATGCTTAAAAATCATTTTATGTTTATTCAAACTGTGATCTCATCCACCAAATTTCCTCTATTAATGTCGATGTTCCAAGTATCCTCTATAGATTCACCTTTGATCAAGAAAATCAATAAATCAATCAATATACAAAGCAGAAAGTTGCATTAGTGCGGACAATGCCGGTGAGAGCGTATCACCTCATTACAATACACGGCCCATATAGGCACAATACAGGAGATTCGAGTACGATCCAATCGGCTTTAAATTCTCATTTGTATTTGTTATTTTCTCCATTTGAAACAAATTAATTAATGGCATGGGATCAATGCAGCAACGCGTTGTATTGGTATTAATTGCTGAATTGCCTCAGAATTATTTTTACATGAAGAGTTGATCAAAATATACGATCCAACAAACTTGAAAGATGTCACAGTGGTCTGCGTTTGCATACAAGGAGTGAGACTGACACGATTGGATATAACCGGGGCTTTTAAAACAAAATAATAATAATGCTAAAGTCATCGTTAGATAGTATTTTAGGGGATTATTCATCCCCTCAACGTATCATCTTGTCAATACATGCTCTTGGACAACATATCCACGGATAAAGACATTCCCTGACCAATGTAGACAACACATTCGTTTGTCGATATTATCTAATTCATATTTTAGTTCAAAGTATCTCCCTAATTTACTTCTCTCGGTAAATCTTCCCTTTGTCAGCTGGTCCCTTATCAGATCATTCTTTTAATAATTCGCCCAAAGACAAACCATCCCCTTTTTAGTTCTTCCCTCGATAATTACCTCTTTGATAGTTCGTTCCAAAAAACTCATCCCTAAAATGTTTATTTGACGAATCATCTCTTCGGAGTTTCGTGGATGAACAAATCATCCCGTTTGATAGTTTGTTCCTAGACAAAACACTCTCCTTTATTATTCGCCCCAACACAAATGATTCCCTTGAAAATGTTATATAACATTTAATGTACATTTAACGCCTAAAATAGTAATTTTTAAATTTAATGAAGCAAGACCTGTCTGTATGATACTAAAGCATACATATTGAACAGGGGCGTAGCCAGCAATTGTCAAGGGGTGCGACCGTTGGGTATGCATCACTGCAATCGAAGCAAGCCCCAGAGGAAAATACGGGGAAATTATTTAAAATTTACATTTTACATGGTACATTCTAAACATTTCAAACTATAATTTGTTAATGTTTTTTCAATTCTTTTTTTCCTTTTTTGTTAGGGGGGTGATCGCTGCGCCAATGTTGTACATGTACTCGTAGATACTTTGTCACCAGCAGCGGATCTTAAATATCTTTTTAGAACCATTTTGCAGGTCTCATTTCTATTCCGCATGCATTTGAATTTCTAGAAATAAGAATCGATCCAGTAAAAGTCATTAATATTATGTATTTGCCTCATGTCCAATGTCCATCATCTTAAATTCCGTAATAGGTCTTAAACGTTTTCTAGATGTAATATTTGTGCTCGATGGTATAATGAAACGTTTTCAAATTTTTATTGTTAATATCCGATTAAATATTTACAAAACTAATAAACTACAAATCAAGCATTCATAATCATATTTATATAACTCAAAAGATATACTGAGAGTTTTTTTGGTACCATAAATTGACAATATTTTTGAAAGCCACTCACCTGTTGTGATAAATAAATAACAACAAATGATATTTTTCATAAAATCCATTTTAGGCCTCATGTAAGAGTTTCCTTGTGATAGAATTTCCAAAAAGACGTCCGGAGAATGACATAAAGTGAGCAATGACTAAATTAAAGTACATTGTCTCCTAACCAGGACTGATAAACCCCACATTGAGCCTTTGTCTAAAAAGCTAACGTCACCATTCCTTTAATTTATAAAGAAGCACTCTTTAAAATGACAGTCTCATGAAAATAACGTACATTCAAAGTATAAATCAGCCCATTGTATGCTATATTCTAGTAAACACCTTATAGATTTCATAGTATGAACGTTGAATCACTTTTTATGGAAAAATAAAAAATAAAGCCGAAATGGTATGTATTGATAAAAACATTGAAACAGTAAAATATTTCGCAAGAGCCATGACGATACGTGGTATTAAAAAATTAACGATTCTTGCGATTAATTAGTAGTTGCTTGCGACAAAGTGCTTAAATGAGCACAGGATTCGGCTGATCTGTAACAATCTTTTATTAGAAGGTATGCTAAACTTAATTTTTGTTGACTTTAATTGCGATGACTTCCAATGGAGGATTAGCAGAACGCATATCGCATAGATTCAGTTAAACGACT